CACCACTTTTAAAAATAGAAGGAAGACAAATAGATCAAAGGAGATCAGAGGAAGTGGCTCAGGAAGAGGGAGGAGGAAAGGGAAAGAGGAGATATATACTGGGGGACTAAATTAACCAAATTGTGTTATGTGAACAGATGAATATATCATAGTGAATCCACTATTATGTATAATCATAATGCACCAATAAAAAATTCCCAATCTGATAAATCCCAATATTATATCTATCTATGTCTGAGTTTGTTTCTGATGCTTGTTCTTTCTTCAAACTGTTCTTTCACCTGTTAAAATGTCTGGTAATATTTTATTGAAACTCAACATGATGTTCTGTGTATAAGAAAAATTCCAGTAAATTGTTCTTTAATGATGTGGTGAGGTGTGGGGAGTGGGAAGTGTTCTGTAGCCCTGGAATTAGGTCTCAGTCATTTAGTAGGCTGTAGCCTTCACTAACTAGTGCCTGTCAGTCTTCCCCTCCACCCCCTTAGTTGGGACAGGATGTCTAGACCAGGCATGAGTTAAACGTTTCTCTTCACCCAGATTAGTTAGGGCCTGATAAAATCTCAATAAATTCGGCTCTATTAAAGTAACTTCTCTTGAGGGTAGGCCTTGTTAAGAAAAATAGAATGCTCTAACTCATTTCAAGTGGTTACTTTCCTCTTCCCCTGCTAGAAACATAAGGAATCCCCCTCCACCCTGTTATTTACTGTGAACCCAGGAGAGCCTCTGGAGTAAAATTCGCAGAAGTATGGGGGCCCTTCCTTGTACTTTTGTGTTGTCCATGTTGAACCTCCAGTAATTTTTCATCGACAGTCCAGGTTTTCTTATCCATCTCCTATTTCCTGTGGAGGTTTCTTCTTGTGGATTTCTGCTCAGGTAAATGGTAATTTTCTGTGTCACCTACCTCTCTCCAGTTGGAGGCAGTGACTTCATGTGACTCACTTTCTCTGACAGATTTAACGTGGTTTTCAGTTTGTTCATATTTTTACCTGTTACAGTTGTATGGTAGGTAGCTCCTTCCATGCCAGACCAGAAACCAAAAGTCCTGCCCCAAGTTTTTATTTGCTAAAGTTATTCTCAAATTTGGAAGAGTTTGGAGATGCCTTTAAGTCCATTGGCACAAGAAATTGTTAAATTTGACCTGAAGTTGCCTCTATAGGTAGTGAATTTAATATGTAACCAAGCCTCAGCCCATCAAAAGCAGCAGTTGAGCTTTTAGCACATTGCCAAAACATGTCCAAGTAAAGCAAATGCCTGGCTGTAACCAATCAGGCTATTTCTGTGTGTGTCTTCCTTTTGTTTGTCTACCCTGCCCACGTCATTGGGTGGATCTCTCTGAACTTTTATTGATTCAGGATACGGTCCAATTCATTAATTGTCTTTTTTTCTCCTATACTGTTAAGTTTAATTTGTCTTCTGTTTTTTTTTTTTTCTTTTAATAAGATGTTTGACAACCTCCCTCTGCCTCTACCCCCCACAACTAGATTGCATGGGGAAGTCAGAGACCTTCATGCCCACTGGAGATGGGCTCCCTCTCTCAGGTTCATGTAGATAGAGAAAGATCCCTGGATGGAGAGTTGAGTGTGATCTTGGAAAGGCTTCCTTCAAGAGGAAACCTGTTCTGGACCTTGAAGCATCATGAGGAGTCTTTGGCAATCTCACTGGGATTGGGAACTGGGGAGGGCAAGGTTAACAGGAGAAAGAAGTAAACAACAACAACAACAAAAAAAATAGAATTTGAAAACTATTAGAGGCAAAGTGAGACCAGTGACATCCATTGTTATGGTTTGGAGCTCACATGTGAGACAACGCAAGAAGGTTCAGAGGAGAAATGATTAGGTTGTAAGAGCCTTAATCCAATCAGTGGATTAATCCCCTGATAGGGATTAATTGAGTAGTAATGAAGTGATAGGGTGTGGCTGGAGGAAGTGTGTATTGGGGCATGGCTTTGGGGGATGTGTTTGTATTTGGCAAGTGGAGATCTCTCTCTCTCTCTCTCTCTCTCTCTCTGCTTCTGGATCATCATGTGAGCTGTTTCCTTCTGCCACACTCTTCCACCATGATGTCCTGCCTCACCTTGAGCCCTGAGAAATGGAGTCTACTATCTATTGATTGAGACCTCTGAAACCATGAGCCCCTAAATAAATTTTTCCTCCCCTAAAATTATTCTGGTTCAGTTTGTTAGTCACGGTGGTGAGAACGCTGACTAAAACATCCATTGTCTCAGTACCGATTTGGGGATCCTACTTCCAACTGGAAATGAGTTCTAGGAAGGTCTTTAGTCATGTCTTGCTTTTCTTTTGCAGATTTTCTAATCTTTCTTTTTCTGTATCCAAGAAGTGGAAGAATCCTTGGAGATCATCCAGTCCAAACTTTTCCTTTACTCAGATAGGGAAATTGAGGCTTGGAGGTGGGAAGGGGCAGATTCAGGATGAATCAATAGCAGAACCCAAGCTTCCTACCTCCTAGCAACCATTTTCTTGGCAAGTCAATAGAGGTGATGCAGAGAATGAGAACAGTCAAGCAGGCTAGGTAGAGAAAAAGATAGAGCCGAGGACAGTGATGAGCCTGATCAGGGAATTTGGGATGAGCCAAGAGGAAAGTGCTCTCCTTTGGCAGCCTATCCCCCACAGTCTACCCTACCTTCAACAGCTGGGCCAGCTAGGTGACCAGTATAGGCATACAGTATCCAGAACTGCCCTGCGCAATCTTGCTTCCTTGTGTTTTCTCCACTAGTGTTCCTCTGCCCATCTTTTTTTTTTCTTTTTTGGTGGTGCTGGGGGCACTCTACCAACTGGGCTATATCCCCAGCCCATCTTTTAAGATGGTTCAAATTCATAGCAGGAAGAACTTTTCCCATACACAAGCAGATTGTGTGTTCATGTGCTATGGTATATATGTGTGCATGTGCCTGGAGTGTGGTGGAGGGAGACTTTGTCCTGTCTTCCTGTTATCACTGAGATTGTTTGAGAACTCTTTTCTCAGCACTAACCTCAGGCAGCTGCATTTATTGTTTTCTTGGAGATGATAATGGTTTCTTCACTGATTAGAGTAGTACTCAAAATGCAACTCATGGTTTTTGCATGTAACTACTTTGCACTCTTGGATTGTGTTTGGTGCTTAAAAAAGAAAAGGCTCCTGTGCCTGACACACCTAGTAGTGCCTCCTGGGCTTGGCTGGTGTTGCATACTATCAAACACTAGGCATCCATAGGAGAAGAGGAAGTCCATCAGGGTTAAGAGGCTGGGTTAGGTTCTTGGCAGAGTTAATATGCAGGCTGTTTTTTTTTTTTTTTTCTTAGTTTTGACTAATCACAAGATGTTTATTGACCAGACTGTTGTTCCTGGAGAGCAAGATGACTCAGAACAAAGGAGACAGATGCCAAATGAAGGCAGAGATGCAGGAAAAACTGAACAGTGGAAGTCCTTCTTACAGGAGTACTTGGCAATGGAGTACCAGGTTATGAATGGGAAATAAATAAGTAAATAGTTATGTCTCATGTGAATGCTTTCCAAAGAGGGACCTCAACAGAGGGAGCCTTCAATAGTCAAGTGTGCAGGACAACCTGCTTTCGCAGTGGCTAACAGTCAGCCTCTCTCCCTAGCAACCTGCGTCACCACCCAAGGAGCTCATCAACAAAGTGGCCATGGTGATAGGGATGGAGGTTATGCATGGGCTCAGCAACATGGATTTCCTCTCACTGAGGCCAACCTGGCCACAGCCGCTGCTGAGGGCCCCATCTGCCAGCAGTGGAGAATGGCACTGAGCCTCCCTGGGACATCATTTCTCAGGTAATCAGCCAGCCACCTGAGGGACAGGTGGATTACATTGGACCTCTTCCCTCATGGAAGTGGCAGCATGTTGTTCTTCCTGGAATAGATACTTTGGATTGGGATTTGTCTTGCCTGAACGCACTGCTTCCGCCAAAACCACCATCCATGGATTCATGGATTGCTGTATCCATCATCGTGGTGTTTCGCATAGCACCACTTCTGACGCAGGAACTGGCTTCACAGGAAACAAAGTGCACCGAGGGCACATAGTAATGGAATTCATGGGTCTTTCTGTGTTGGGGATATTATCTCACTGCTTGTACTTCTCTCGCATATTCAATACTTAATTTGGAGCTCATTATCAGTGCAGACAGGTGCCTGGTTTCCCTGAGCTGCCTAAAATGCCTCTCTGTACAGACACGCCTCATTGTGTATTCAGGTCTTGGTTCTGGAATCAAGTTCTCACCAATCTTTCACTTTCACTAGAACAATGAATGTCTTTGAACATCATTCTTTGGAGCACACATGGGAGTGCCCCTAGGTTCCAAGGAGTGGGAGAAATTCATTTCCATTTCCATCTTCCTCATTACAGGTAAAGTGCATTGCTGCTTCTATTACTAAAAGACATGCATAATTCAAGTAAGGCTTTACAAACCCATTGGATGTCTAATGTAGAAGTCACCCTTTGTCCCAACATAACATGGCACCCACCACCACTATTTCTGTGATCCCCAGGAGATGGAGTCTGCAGGCTGGTTTTTCTTGCTGAAATAGGAGGACTTACCTTACCCTACACTGTCTAATGTGGGCTGGTCTCTAGAGCAGCCTCCTGTTTCTCGGAGACACTTGTCTCAGAATTTGGATTCTCTAGCAAATGGAAATGTTTGAGCTGGTGTGAATTGTTTAGGATGTTGCAATTGGAGGTGGGGCGGGTATGGCTACTGTAAGCTGTATTAATGTCTGGCTAAAGCTCAGGGCCCAAGAAACTGCTCTTAATTCCCCTTGTGATGCCTGCTCACAGTAAATAAAATAGCTTCAGATGCTACAAGCTAGACGGGATGATTTTTTTCATTATATTCTGCTTTTCTCAGATCACAACTAGGGAGCTGTGTGACAGGTGTATCTAGGCAAGGCTGGATTAAACATTAATGCAGTTGTCACTGCTGTCCAAAGGAACAAGTGCACCAGAGCTAATCTCCAGAGTTACCTGAGGAGGGGTGAACAGCAGTCATGGCTCAATTTGCCCAGGTTCTAGCTGAAATAGGTGACTTTGGTCGCTTCCAGGTACAGTTGACGATCCTGATGAGTATCCCCAACTTCCTGTCCCCCTTCTATATGTTTAGCCAGGTCTTCATGGTCCTGGATGAGGCCCACTACTGTTCAGTGGCCTGGGTCAAGAACCACACTCTCAACCTGAGTGCAGCTGAGCAACTGACACTGAGCGTGCCTCTGGATGCTGAGGGCAGACCTGAGTCCTGCCTCATGTTCCGGCCACCCCCCAATAACGCCAGCCTGGAGGACATCCTCAGCCACCGCTTCAATGAGACACAGCCTTGTGAGACCAGCTGGCACTATCCTGAGGACAAGCCCCGATCGCTGTTGAACGAGGTAAGGCTGGCCTTGTGCCTATCTGTCCACTTGTCTTGGTCCCTCTGCCTGACCCTGCACTGACTGTTGCTGTCTCTGTAACTCTTCCTGTGTGGTTGACCATTTGTATGCCTGTTTTACCTTTTGCAGTCACCTTCTTTTTTCTCTTTGTCCTCTGCCTGTTGGTCCATCTAGTCTCTATTTTCTCTGTATGGTCTGCCTGCCCAGCTCTCTGTTCAGTTTTGCCTGTCCTTTTGTCTCCAGGCTTGTCCTTCTGTCTGTCTGCCCAGGCACCTGCCTTTATGCCTGTGCCCTGTTTTCCTGTTCTGATGCTGCCTCTCTCTACCCCGTGTTCCTAGCTGTCTATTTCCCCTTGTCTTTCGGCTCACCCTTGCACGTTGGCCTGATTACCTGTCCTGTGCTTTCCTAACTCTTAGATTGTTGCTTTCTCTGTCCACTTGTTTTCCATCCTGCTTGCTTGACTTGGCTTCCTACTTTCCGGCTTCTCTCTGTAGGTCCCTGCCTCTGGGATGCTGGAGAACACTCTCGACTCTTAAGACTCATCCTGTGGATAATTAAGCACTTGCTCCTACTAACTTCATTCTCTTAGGAGAGACTTGGGTACATTTACAGAAAGATGCTACCTCTAGCCACTTCGGAGCAAGAGGGGCCCTCAGAAACATCTAGCTCCTTCCTGTGTGGCTTCCCGGGTGGTAAGGTTTAGACACAGAGTCCCTCTCCAAGGACCTCTGGTGGTCAGGGAAGACCTGGACCCCTTGTACTGGAGTAAAGGGCTAGGTGGCCTCTGAGACCCAGAATTTGCTTTCTCCTGAAGACAACTTTCTAAATGAAGTGGTAATGTGAGCTGGGCAACAAGATGCTCAAAAATGTTGCCAGAGAAGAGTTTTTTTTGCAGAAAAAGTATCAAAAGAAAGGCCTGGCAGCCAGAAACAGGTGGTTTTCAAGGTGTAGGTAACTTGGTGTGCCTGGAATATGGGTGGTAAATGTAAACTAGGATTTGTAGGGGATATTTTCAAGGATCTGGCACCTGTTTTGCTGTTGCTGTTTGTTAAAAAGTAACTTCCCCTTTAAAAAAACCAGCAAATGACAAACAAATTTTCTTGATTGCTACCTGAGTTTCATCAAGCACTGTATCTACTCAAGGGGGAAAAGAAAAGGCACCTGTCAAGGAATGTTATAGTTTGGATCTCCAATGTCCCCCAAGGCTCATGCTTTGAAGACCTGGCCCCCAATGCAGTTCAGAGGTATGACTTTGGGGAAGTGATTGGGTCATGAGGGTTCTAAATTCATTAATATTCTAAACTCATTAATATTCTAAACTCATCAATGTCCATTGATGGATTCCTAGCTAAATGGACTCCTATGGAATGGTACAAACTGTAGGAAGTGGGACCTAGTAGAAGGGAGTGGGTCCTTGGGGGCATGCCTTAGGGATCATGAAATAAATGAGTTTGCTCCACCACATGACCCTTATCAGAACACTCTGCCTCACTACAAGCCCATAGCCATAAGTCCAAATGACTGAAACCATGAGCCACAATAAATGTTTCCTCCTTCAAGTTGATTTCCTCAGGTATTTTGTCATAGCAGATGGAAAATTGACTAACATGAGGAATATATTAATAAATGACAGCACACACCTGAAGCCCTTCTTTAGCTACAAGAGGCTCCAGGGCAACTAATATTACTGTGTCTAACACATTGATTAGGCCTTTCCATGTGAGTGAGAATACCCCATTTGACAGCCCTTTGGTCAAGGACAGCTTTTCTGAAGTCTTCTATTTGCTCTTGGCAAATTTCTCAATAGGAGAGGGGTCATCTCTGAGATCAATCTGTGTCTCAACAAGCAAGATGGTAGATGCATTATCTCAGGCACCCCATTTTCTTTTACTTCTAGTGAGGTCAGAGACCCCTGAAAAACAGAAAAGAAACACATTCATTTGTGGATGTTCAACTGCCATAATCTCTCATAATTGGCTTGTCCTACAGTGTCAAAAAGGTCAAGAGTCTGTGGCTCTCCACCAATCCGGTAACTGCATACTTTTCAAAAACAGCACATACTCAGGTGGAGATTTATTTGTTGTGTTGGAGTCAAGTGTTCCCAATGGCACCATGGCTCCCAGCAACACACTCAGTGGTCTGCCTCACTGAAATTGTTTTGTATCCACTTGATCTGACGTGCACAGACCTGAAACTGACTTTAGCTTCTTCAACAACCTGTGGGCAGCACTCAGAGGCCTCAATTCAGCCTCAGTCAGCAGCCTAGTCCATGTTGGCTGGGTTGGGCCTTGGACCTCTTACCCTCCCACTTCCAACCCTTCCAAGAACTGTGACTCTCAAGGGAATGTACAACATTGGGACTTTGTGACCTGTGCCACAGGACAATCTAAGCTTGGTTCTAGAGCAGAGCTCCCTTGGAATGAGATCTTCTGCTTCTGCTTTTTTTTTTTTTTTTAATCTATGAAAAAGAGCTCTGCACACTGATGCAGAAGGTCCTCTCTAAGTAGACACCCCAGTGTCCTTAGTATAACCTGTGGCTTCATATTCAAACCAAAATAAAAACCACAGTAATCTGAAAAGAAAAAACATGTTTCCTTAAGGCTACATGCCCTTGAAGGTCATAGTACCTGTCTATTTCTTACCTTATCAGTGTAATATTTCCTGGCTCTGTGCATATAGAACTCTGAAGGGGAGGGAAACAGACTGTCAACGAATAGCAGAAACAGTAGCACTTTTCCTGGGATTGTGGACAACGTTGGAATGGCAAAGAATGAGAATCAGAAAAAACAGTCATTTTTAGGGTCTGGAGGTATAAAAATGTCTGGCATCTTTGAGGAATACTCAAAAAAAAGAAGTTTGGAAATTCTTGTAGGGTTACAGGTTCAGTGCTGAAGAATATGGGATTTCTGCTAGAGATCCAAGAGGGCCTTGAAGGTTTTAGAATAAGGAAGACATGCTCTAGAAATGAGGGTGGAATTCTGCAAGTCACTCTGGCTGTCCCTGAACAGAACCAAACACTATTGGTGTTAGGGCTGGGGAGGTGGATAAATGGCATCCCAAGTGCAGTCCTCTTCATCTCTGCGCCATTTGCAACATGATGACACTATGTGAGTTTGGGTGTACTTTGGCACCTCTCCAAGACACAGTCTCTGCTGCTGCTGAACAATGGACTAAGTGTGAGAATTTAATGATATAAGGGGTATAAACTATAGGGAGGTAGTAGAATTGTGACTAGTGACCAGAGGTGCCAGACTTGGAAGACCCCCATAGCTTGGCATTCATGCCTGTAGAACACTGTAGCCTTGAAAGCCTGGTAAGCACAGGGCTAGTGTAGCCATCCTACAGAGCTTTACTGAGCGCAGCCTGTATAACAGCCACCAAGCCAAGTATGTCACATGTGTTAGTTCCTTTAATCCTATCAGATGATACATACCATATAGCAGGTTTTATCACCAACTTTGTACACGTTGGAAACCAAAACACAGATGGACAGACTAACAGGCTCAAGGTTACACAAAGTCACTCAGTTCTGACCCTAGAGCTTGGCAGTTGCAAGCCTTTATTTATTTTAAATGGTATGTTACTACAAAGGCAATCCATAGTTACTAGGCAAAAACAAACAGGATGGACCAACAGTTAAGAGCCCTTCTGTGTCCCATGTCATTCTCAGGGGTAATCAGTTAATCATTTGACATCTACTGAAAGTCCTTAAAAATTAACAGTTGTCCTTGAGAATGGAAGTGTGAGCACAGTGGTAACTCCTGGATTGGTTAATTTCTTGCTAAAGGTTATTTAACTGATGGTGATTGACTGGTCATCGATGTGCTGGCCTTGGTTCCTTTGCTCGTTTTCAGCAAACATTCCCTTAGACTCCACTCAGTTTCATTCCCTGTCTAGACAATAGAAATGTGTCAGTTCCACCAGCTGCCATCCAGCTGTGGGATGTAGGATTAGCTGCTAACCTCCCTCGGAGTAAAATAACAATAAGTCAGTGGCTGTTGTGGCAGTGATCTGAGGTAATACGTGTAAAGCGCTTAGCACCCTGTGCATGGCACAAAACAGGCACTCAAAGGAGGGAAGCTGGAGGAGGGTTCACATGGCACGTTCCCCTACAAACACTCATGTGTAAGCTGAGTTGTGTGCAAAGGGTGCAGAATGCCCATGAGGGAGTCATGTGTACTGTACGTGCACATGTAGCGGACATGTGTGCAGAGCTGTGTGGATCCACGTATTTTCTCCACTTCATTTCCTAGACTGTGGATTAGGCTGTCTCTAAGTCTCCAGGTGGGTTGGCAGCTTTTGCCCAGATGTATCTCCCACCCCGCCCTCCCACTGTGTGTGTATGTTCCTCTGTACCAGTCAGGTGTGTGTGAATGCTCCTTATTGCCTGATTGCTTGTGTTTGGTGAGTGTTTCAGGGGATTTTGCAGCCAGATGAGAAAATTTGGAGAGGCCCAAGTGGGTCACAGGGATGCCTGAGCTGAGGGGAAGAGACCCTACTTACTTGTCAGGATGCAACCATCAGTGGTAGATCATAGGCTCTCAAATTTTATATCCTTAATGTGTCAGGGATTATACATGGTACCTTTAGGCTAAAAGAAATATGGTTCTATGTATTGTTAAGTCCAAAGAATAACACGTGTTTATGTCCTAACAATTTACTAGTGGTTTGAAAGAATAGTACACCTAAATTCAAAGAAAAAACATTTTATTTCATTCTTAAAGAAAGGCAACAACTTATTAATGGGATGTATGTGGCTCCTGAGGACACATAGTTTCCAAGCCCTTGGATACTGCTAGGTCCATTTTTGGTTCCCTGCTGATTTGTACATGGTTTACTTTGTTGTTGTTGTTGTTCCACAGCTATTACCCAAAACAGGACTTCACAGAGATATGATGTCATTGACAGAAAAGTAGGGTGATCTCATGTTGAGGTACAAACTTATCCTGGGCTGGTAGTTTTGTGTCATGTCAGACAGATGTCAAATATCACTCTATTTATTTCCCTTTGAATATACTCTGCTGTGCCCAGTGAGTTCACTGTAGTACCCTGGAGTACCTTGGAACACAGTTTGGAAACCATAGACACGATTCCTAAAAGAGCGGTCAAGGGCTAGGTGGTGAAGAACTTGCCCTCAGCACTTCCCCCAGACTCACATCTGCCCGTATTTGCTTCAGTTCAACCTGGTGTGCCATCGGAAGCACCTGAAGGAGACCTCACAGTCGGTGTTCATGTCCGGACTCCTTGCTGGGGCCCTCATCTTTGGGCCCCTCTGTGACTGGTATGAACCTTGACCCGCTCTCCCCTGACCTAGCATGTGTTTAGGCTCCTTAGGGCCCAAGTTTCCCCGAGTGCCCCTCATGCCGGCCTCCAGGAAGAGGCCTGGTTCCCACCACCCTCCATGGGGCTCTCAGAGAGGGGCCACGTCTCCTCCCTCAGACAGCCCAGGTGAGGCCTGTGGGGTTTTACCTGCTTCCTCCCCAGCAGGGCCCCTTCCCTTACCACACACAGCTCTGCTTCTTTACCTCAGGATTGGCCGCAAAGCCTCTCTCCTGGTGCAGCTGCTCCTGACTGCCTTCGTGGGCCTGGCCACGGCCTTTGTGCCCAGCTTTGAGTTCTACATGGTCCTGCGCTTTGCTGTGGCTACCGCTGTCTCTGGATTTATGATAAGCACTGTTACCCTGCGTGAGTACCCTGCCTGTGGGAGCCTTGTCAGGCACATACCTTGCCCATACCTGAGGCAGTCCCAGGGGAGCTTCTCGTGCAGGGACTGAGGCCTGAGGACTGAGGACATGCTGACCTGGCAGCATCTAGAGAGTGGCGGGGAGTGAAGGGGCAGGGTGTGGCCCAGTCTCAGCTTTTCTGTCCCCACAGTTTCAGAGTGGGTGAGCCCCTTGTGGAGGACTCGGGCTGTGATCCTGGCCCAGTTCACCTTCGCCTTGGGACAGATGGTGCTGGCAGGACTTGCATATGGTATCCGCAACTGGAGGCTCCTTCAGATTGCTGGCGCTGTTCCTTTTTTGCTGTTCTTCTCGTACATCTGGTGAGGAGCCACTTGCCAGGAGCAAACCACCCCTAGGCCAGCTTTGTGGGGTGGAATGCAGTGATCACACTCACCTCCAGGGGTGGTCGGAGGCTGGCCTGGGAGAGGAAGTCTCCAAGTATGGAGGTGCGGAAAGGCTAGGAAGGCTCCACGGGACTTCAGACCCCAAGGTCACAGCTGCTCCTGGCCAACAGGATTCTGCCAGAATCTGCTCGGTGGCTCCTCACCCAGGGGAGGATAGAGGAAGCCAAACAACTAGTTCAGAAGGCAGCCTCAGTCAACAAGCGGAAAATCTCCCCAGAGCTTCTGGACCAGGTACTTCCAGCAGGCCAGGGCTTGTCCCTGCCCCTGACGCTGACCCCCAAAGAGCCTCTGCATGACCCCTCACCCTGCATCTTCTTTCAGTTGGCCCCAGAGAAGACAGCCTCCTCAGGGAATGCCTTGGATCTTTTCAGACACCCCCATCTCCGGAAGGTGACCCTGATTCTCATCTGTGTCTGGTGAGTTGCCCAGGGCTCATGCCCCTTCCTGAGGACAGTGCCAATACGCTGCCCCTTCCGTGGCCACTTTTCCCGTGTGTCCACCAAGTGGTGGGATGGTAGCTCTCAGGCTGTGTGCTCTCTCCCTAGCTGTGCTAGTTTCTCCTTTTGTGACACTGACCAAGGCAGGCTCGTCCTCTGGATGTGATGGTGTTGAACACTCAGCAATGACAGGAACCCTTGGGTGCCTTACAGGTTTGTGGACAGTCTTGGGTACTATGGCCTCAGCCTCCAAGTGGGAGACTTTGGCCTGGACATCTACCTGACACAGCTAATATTTGGAGCCTCTGAGGTGCCTGCCCGCCTTCTCAGCATCTTCATGATGGAGAAGTTGGGCCGCAAGTGGAGCCAGATGGGGACTCTGATTCTGGGTGGCCTCATGTGTATTATCATCATCTTTATCCCAGAAGGTATGACTGGATGTTTCCCTCCCTCCCTGACCCCTGCTGCAGGGGCTGGACCAATGGCCATCACTCTCCTGTCGGGAGTAAAGGTTTCCCCAGGGTTTGGGTACAGAAGAGGTGAGGAGTTTGGGTGGACAAGGTGGCGGGCAGGGCCCAAGTGGTGGGTGGCCTACTTTACGTGTGGTTGACCAGCATCTTCCAGCAGATATGCCCTTGGTGGTCACCGTGCTGGCCGTGGTGGGGAAGTTCGCCACTTCTGCTGGCTTTACCATCTCCTACTTGTACACTATTGAGCTCTTTCCCACCATCGTCCGGTAAGAGCTGCTGATATGACTCTTGCTTTTCTGCTTCTAGGGCCTTGATTTTGGCCAGTCCTCTGCTACCCTCACCACCAGCCCACAAATAGTTAATGAGGCTGGTTCTGGGTCCCTGACAACCAGAGCTGTAGTGCAAGTCCTCAAGTATCTCCAGGCTGGCAGAGGACAGATATGGATGTAGGCCATGGCCTGGCCTTGTCAGGACAGGAATGTGGTAGAAGTTTCAGAATGAATGACCCAGGAGAAGAAACACTCAGATGAGAGAAGGGGTGGTTGGGAGCCATAGCCTTTGACCTTAGAGGGGACAGGTCACATAGGGAACAGGCAGACAGGGAGGCCTGGAGGTGGGAGGTACATGCGGGGGCAGGAGCACTAAATAAGCCAGAGGAGACTGGAGACCCTGCTGGCCTTTGGCTGGGGTTGGGGGGGTGTTACAATTAGGGGTCTGGGGGTAGAGCTGTGGCCTCAGGTTGAGGCCTATTCTGCTCAAATTTTACTGGCCTTCCTGCAGGCAAACAGGCATGGGGCTGGTGAGCATCTTTTCAAGAGTAGGTGGCATCCTCACACCACTTGTGCTCCTGCTGGGCGAGTACCGCAAGGAACTCCCTATGCTCATCTACGGCAGCTTCCCCATCGGGGCAGGTATACTCTGTATTCTGCTGCCAGAGACACGTGGCCAGGCCCTGAAGGACACCATCCAGGACCTGGATCAGGGGCCCAGCACACGGTGAGCAGCTTTCTAGCTTTGAAGCCCAGGACCTGGGCCCCACATCAGAGGCCCCTCTACCAGAAACCCAGACCTCCTCTTCACCATTAGTCCATCATTGCTTAGAGGCCAATATGGATCCCTGTGGAACCACACATCTTACTGACCTTGGGTCAGATTTCCCATATTTTCAGGAGGGAGATGGTGAGGGGTGATGCCATGGGACCAATTTCTGGACAACAACGGGAGCCTTCTTTTCCCTGCAGATCTCCGACGGCAGTGCCCCCAGAGAAAGAAATGGATGCTACGGGAAGAAGTTCTACTCCAGGGGTGACCACTGTGAGCAGCACAAATTTCTGATTGTGGTCTCTAAGAATCAGACCACCAGCAGCAGGAAGCTGCCTACACATCCCTTTGTGTCCCCAAGAGGACACAGATGAGCCTTGTTTATAGAGGAGCGCACAGGACATGGCCCCAGCTCTCTGCCACTGCTGAGTCCAATCCTGGAAGCATCTGGGACAGGACTTCCCTCCTTCCTTCACCTCTCTCATTCCCAGAGCCCCACTCCAATGCCCCGAGTTAGGGTCTTGGGTGTGTCATGGGCTTCATTTGTTCTCTGATAGTTTGTGGGGCTATGGCATCCTGGTCCCTCAGTCTGGAGCACCCCCTGCCCCCCAAACTCAGTCAAATCCAGAGCAGAGCACTAGATAGGGCCTTTCTGAGTAGTGGGATCAAGTGGAGAGGAAATAAATTTTGAAGTTGTGGACTCTAGGCGGCAGGTAGATAAAGGGCTGTCGATGAGGAGAAGGTTGTAGTTTCTTCCAGTGGCTGGACCAGGCCCCTCTGGCTAAGGTGCTAGGACCTTCAATCCTGCTAAGAGAAGACTGTCCTACATTCTCTTTGAAGTTGCCCCATCCCCTGCCCCACACTTAGCTCTTGCCTAACCTACGTGAGGCTCAGGGATGAGCTCTGCAGAGGGAGACTACATGGCTCTGCCCCTACCCACTGTGCTCTGCTGCTTCTGGCTCTTCTAGGGCCCAGGCAGGGAAAGGAGAAGGGCATAGGTCTTTATACTTGGCCACCAGTCACTGTTTCCAGGTTTCTACTGATCTTCCAGTGCATTTTGACAGGCTTCTTACCTCTGGCTCTTCCGTGGGGCCATATTCATGAGACTTTCAGAGATCTTCTCTGGGCCACTGTGTTGTTCCTTAATATGAGCAACCTCCTCTTTAGACCCTTCTTCAGTTCCCACCCTAGCGTTGTTCCATATAGTATTACTGCTGGCATCCCCAGACTTTAGAAGACCACCTTGTTGGGTGGGGGACTCCCAGCAAGCTACTTCAAGCCAGGTTACCTTCCCCAGCATCTGTTTGGCCCACAGAACACCATGTATCATTGCTCCACCAAGTGGTGGAAAAAGAGCTTGCTCATTCATTTTCCCCAGTCCTTGCTCCAGCTCACCTCCTGCCAAGAAGAAGATTTTAGTTTTCTTTCTCACAGGCACCCCTTAGAAGGGTTTTGTATTAGTCTTTTTTCCATTACTATAATGAGATACCTGAGACTGGGTGATTTCATGAAGAAAAGAACTATATTGAGCTCACAATTCTGGAGGTTTAAGGGCCTCATGGCAGATGGCATTGCAGTGGCAGGAGTGTGGGGGAGAGTGAGAGATCACATCACAAGCCAGAAAGAGCAGAGGGGCCACTAAGCCCCATATCTGGAAGGTGTTGTCATCTCTCACATTGCCACACTTTGGCCCAAGATCCCAAAACATGAACCCTTGGTGGGGACGGCACTGAAACCATTTCCAAACCATGGCAGGTTCTTCCAGAAACTTCCTCCCTTGCATTCAACTTTTCTTATATAATGTACAGAGGTGGTCAGTGATGGACCAGTTCTTTGTGCATCCAGCATGGAAGTGTCCAGAGCCTCTCTTTCAAATACATGGATATTTCATACAGTTTTGAAGTGATGGGTAAAAGTTCTATTCAACTTCCTACAGCATACAAACTCATCAAATACCAAGCTAAACTCTCCTTGTAGGGACACACAGAGTCTTCCTTGATATAATGAGCCACCCAGGTTGAAATTTCCAATATGTGATGGCAAAACAAAACAAAACACACCCTGAATAGATTTAGGGAAAGGACCATTTCAGAGTTGCAGGGAGTTTCCTCCCTAAGATTCTGGACACATGCTCCTCAAAGGAGGCAAAGTGCTTGTCATTCCTGGAAGAGCCTTAAAGGGGACCCTTTGTTGACACCAGTGTAAATGCAGAGATTCACCTAATGCTTTTGGGAGTCTTTCGGGATTTTTATTTTTAGGAATTATGGGTGCTTGGAGACAAAAGATCTTTATGTATTTATAAGTATCCCCAGGCTTGTTCTGGTTAGTGGGTAAATGTTTGTCTTTTTGCAGTTGCTGATGGGAGGTCACTAGCTGGTACCTGTCGGACGCCTGATCTCGTCTTAGCCCTGAGGAGCACAGCAGAAAGGGGATCTCACTGTGCCAGGCAGTGGCCAGCATATGCCAAATGGTGGCTGTCCTCCAGAGGGTGTTATTGAATACAGAACAATCCATATTTATGGCACATACTAGCAATGAACCTACCAATATTATGGTTGGTTTTGTAGGGGTTGGTGCAGGACTCAGATCTCAAGCCTAACTGGCAGGAGTACCTCCCATTCTGGGTCTCAGCCTTCTTATTTTAGAATGCTAGCATGTATGAGACCCTGGGTTCAATCCCTAGCACCCCACCACCCCACAAAAAAGAAAAAGAATGGACAATTTCATAGGTCCCTTTGCACAAATCCTCCAAGATTATAATATTGGGAGCCCTGACTGGGCATGGAGAGCAAAGGAGTCTAGCAATCTGCCCTTGTCAGGGGGACCTCTGAAATTAAAACCACCATTCTTCTCATCTTGTGTTCTCTGCTTCCATTTCCAAAGCCTAAGCTGTCCCCATACTTCCCCAGCCAAACTGCCCCTCTACCTTGACACTGTCCCCTATAAACTATCTTCCACCTCACCCAGTTCTACCCACAGGTACAACTTGTATATGTTAGTCAGCTTTGTGTCACTGTGACAAAATACTTGAGGAAAAAAATTACAGGAGGCAAAATTTATTTTGGTTCATGGTTTTAGAGGTTTTAGTTCTTAATTGTGGGCGTGTGGTAAGGCAGAGGAAGCATGTGGCAGAATAAAGATACTTACCTGACAGCAGCCAGGAAGCAGAGAGAGAAGAAACAGCTGGGGACAAGCTATCGTCCCCAAAGGCACATCCCAAAGCACTGGCTCTCTTCAACTAGATCACACCACCGATAATTCCTTCATCTCCCGATAATGCCATCAAGTCACAAATCCAACAATGGATAAATACATTGATGAGGTTAAAGCCCTCATGATCCAATCACTTCTCCAAATTTCCACCTCTGAACATTGCTGCACTGGGGACCAGGACTTTGACATAAGTCTTTGACAAAAGTCTTCATATTCAGACCATGACACTGTATCTCTGGAACTGCCACTCAAAAGCCAGCAGATGTCCCCACATCTTCAGCCCTTCCTGGAAGGTTTTGCATCCCCAGCCTCTTCCTCTGACTCTGAGCTTGCTCACAGCTGGGGAGCTGTGGGAAAGGGCTCTTTACTCTCCACTGCTTCTCCACCATTATGTCCCCGCCTTCTTGTAAATCCCCTGTTGTGGTGGCCTCTTTCTCTCCCTTGCTCCCACCTCTTGACCTCCAGATCACACAGTCCGATTCATCTAAAACTCCTGCCTGGTTCAGTCACCCCTTCTCCTCCAGAGCTGCCATCCTCATAGGAAAATCCCTCTCCACCTCCAATTCTTAAAGACATTTCTGGCATATAAATGAAAAGATGAATGGCCCTCTAACTCAGACGTCTTGCCTTCTGACCACTGCATTCCATCTTGGTCTCTTTGTCTCATTCCCAACTGACCTAGCCATCGAGGGTTGCCACAGCAAAATATCATAAGACATTTCCTTAAAACCAGAAATTTATTTTCTCAAAGTTCTAGATGCTAGAAGTCTAAAATCAGGGTGCAGCATGATTAGGTTCTGGTGGGGGCCCTCTTCCTGGCTTGCAGATGGCCACCTTCTCTCTATGCCCTCACACAGACTTTCCTGGGTGCATGTGCAAGGAAAGGAATTTTTCTCTCTTTTTTTATGAGGCCACTAATTTCATCTGGAGGATCCCACTCTTATCTATGACCTTATCTAACCTTAATTAACTCCCCATGGTCCCATCTCCAAATACAAGAACATTGGGGGTTAGGGTTTTGATATGTGAATTTGGAAGCAGGGGAAGATACAAGCATTCTTCCTATAACACTGTCTTTGGTTTCATTGGGGCCCTCTGGTCTGCTGACCCTTTGCTTTCTCCCTACCTCTCTCTGTCCTCTCTACTCAGATGAGAGAATGGAGCCAACCTTTTAATTTCTATCGAGAGAGAGCATTTCCATCTCTGGCCCTACACTTTAGTTCTTTTACCCTGTGGTTGTGTCCCACTAGCAAAACCACAGCAGCATATAAGCTCAATTATCTGCCTGCTCTTTCTCTGCACCCCCGACCACTGGTCATTGCTAGAGAGTCACATGCTGGGCAAGTCTATTTTCCATGGATTCATGGTTGCCAGCCTCAACCAGATCTGTAAGGGCCCAGGACCCCTAGCTAGCTTGCTTTCCATCTCCAATGGCCATTTCTAACCTCCACTGGGTGTGCTTCCCATCCTCCACTTCCTCACTGAAAGCACCGTCTCCTCCTTTTAGAAATAGGGAGCCACCATGTGGCCATTCCCTAGACTGCCCACCACCTAATCTTTCACCTGCCCCTCAATGTTCCCTGCTGCTGCGTGAAGGGAACCATCGTGCACAGAGATGGCAGTGACACCACTAAGGGCAAGGCCCTTTCCTCTGCTCCCCCCTCCAACCCCCCTCCCAGACCTGGGAGCTGCTGAAGGCAGGGCCTTTTCCTTATCAGTCTCTCTTCTCTATGACCCCCCATCTTAGGCAAGGGGTCTGGGCATCAGGCAAGTTTGTGGGGACCTCTGAATTGAATTTGCTTTTGCCCCCAACTTTCCTTTGAGGTGAGAGATTTCAGCTCCTGAAGTTTCTCCTGATCCCACTGGTCTGATGAGTCATTGGCTCTCAATCAAGCCAGGATCACCATTGGCCAGAGAGTCCAGGCCACTTGCCTACAGAGGGGCCTGGGACAGGCCTTGACAGTCATCTGTATTGGGACTGGGAAATGTCTAGCTTCCAAGTTCCCAGGACATGGCCAGGATCTTCCTGGTGCTGACCTTTCCCCTGCAGGTGGAAGTGGTGGCCTCCCCAGTGCCTGGTTGCTTCCCTCCTCAGAGATTTCAGCAATGAGGACCATCAGTCCTGAGCATTCAGCCCAGGTGAGTGGAAAGACCCTGATATTTACTAACTTTCTCAGTCTCTGATCAAGAAAAGAAAATGACCTCATGATTTTTAAGTATAGATAATTAACATCTGTTGCTAGTATGAGTAAACTCACATGTGTAAGAAATAGTATGTTTCTTTGGATTATGCACTTCTGCCTCACTGAGCTGATGGAACATTCTGTCCAGAGACTGGGCCAAAAGACGGGGGTCTGTTATAACCAGAACAAAGGGGACTCCTCACCCTGGTCATCAGCCTCATGGAAGACTGGTAGGTGCCACCTGCTTGGTCCCTTTGGCCCTAGCAGTGCTGCTAGGGGAATTCAGAGGAGGCTAAGGGGACTAGGACCAGCCATTCAGGTGACCCACAGACATCAGGGAGGCCTGGTAAAAGAGGGAGGATTGCAGTGACTGCCCCAACACAGGAAGACTGAAGCCAGAAGTAAATCTCAAAGTCACTGGAGGGAGGTTTCCCCATGATTAATATTTCAATGGCTTTCCTCAAATATAGGGAAATCTTCAAAAAGTGTTTTTAATGTATTTTGGTGCCCCAGTTTTGCCAGCATCTGGAGTACATGCTGTGTTTCCGATCAGGGAATCAAGCAGCCCTGGATTTCAGCCTTCCTTGCTGTTCCTGTCTCTCTGGGCCCTGTGCTGGGCAGTGGGCAGTGGAGAGAGCAGGGCACGTGGGGGCGATGTCCTGCTTGGCTCAGACTGTTCAGAGATACCAAGCTTCTCTTCTTCAGCAAGGGTTCTTCAATTCCCCTGTAGGGCCTGCCTCCTAATGGGCCCTATGCTGATTCCCCACCCATACTCCACACCAAGATTAGAACCATGATCCCACAAACTGGCAGAGGAGGCTTCTGGCTCATGGGAAAGTGGTTCAGAGACAGGTGGCTCTGACCAAGACTGGTTGGCTGGGGTGTGTCCCAGACAGAGCAGAGGTGTTGGGGGCAGGGACAAGCTGTTCCCAGCTGTGGGATCAGGAAGGCTTGAAGGACAGCTGACAACCAAGTGGTATCTCGACAGATGGGAGAATTTCCCTCAGTGGAGGTAGGGCCCTCCTGGGAGGGTGGATGTTGCAGGTACAGGAAATACTTTGCACAAAGGCACAGAGCTGGTTCATGTGCACAATCTGTCTTGTCCCATTCTGTCCCTAGGGGCTGTGCCAGTTGTGCCCCTGGAATAGAATGC